AACGTACGAGTTTGTTGACGAGGAGACGGAGGAGATTCTGTTCCTGCTCGGGCTTATCTCGAAGGAGAGTGAAAATGAGTGTTAGAGATTGTGTCCGAACATATTGTAGGGGGTCGAGGGAGAGTGTCTAATCGGCAATGTTAATATTACGATGGCTGAAGAAGCATGATGTGAGGCGTACCTCGAGGATTTGCAGGATGGAGAAAAAATACTTCTTGAGCCAGTCCTCAAAATACCAAATTAAGAGATGCTCGTCCGTTACTGAAGGGTGGTTCAGCGGCTGGTCGCGGAAATACCTGATTCAAAGACGATCAGCGTGCTAGCAAAGATTCATGTCTCATCTACTTACTTGAGCTTCCGATCAGGTGCGCCTCCGCCGACCCACCAATCCACCACGCAGCGCAAAGCCTTCAAGCTCTCTTCTCTACCACCCTTTCCCTTTCCACGTTCCGCCATGCCCTTGAGAGTTTCCAGCGCCTTGGTATTGTGGATCGGGCTGCTCTGCACGAGTAGTGTGAGGGCACTAAGCCTATCGGACAGGGTACCCGATTGGATTATTTTGGAGAGGAAATTCGCTTCGGACGACGAAGAGTTTGAGGATGAGGAGGTCTGGAATGTGCGAATGTCAGCGTAGTGGAGTTCCGACGCCTTTTGGGTGAGAGATGCGACTTGGTCGGGCGTAATCGAAGGTAGTGGTGTAGGGGTGGGCGCAAGTCGTGGTGCCGCGGTGTGCCATAGAGCGATGGGTTGGAAGACGAATGGAGATTTGGAGTCGAAGGTCACTTTGGTAGGGAGCTGGACCTTGGGCACATCGGCTGGTCGATCAGGCTCGGCGGGGGCTGGGGGTACGACTGCCTGGACCTCGGGTTTCTTATTCTTTTTGTCCGGTTTCTGGGATTTCGAAGGTGCCAATGCGGGTGCCTGTATTTTAGTCGGTTGTGTTGAGCCTGAATCTTTTTGAGTCCGAGCCTTCGTTGGTTTCTTGGCCAACTTTTGATTAATTCCACCGCTCTTTTTTCCTGAGTCCTTAGGCTCGCTCGTGCTGAGATTTAGACCGTTGAGAAACGCCGAAACATCTTTCGAGAGCGCCGGCTATGAAAAGAGACATTCCAGAATCGAGACATGACATTATAGAGGACACTCACATCATCATTCGCCCTACCATTAGCGGCATTTAGACTTGCGCCTTTGACCAAGTCGATGTCCTCTTGAGTACCTCCCAGGGCAAGGACTTGTTCCCTTAGGACTGCATCGGATGCCATGCCATTCGATTTCTTGGAAGTCGGCTTGGGCTTAGATGTAGAGGCCGACTGTGATGATGAACCTTTCTCCTTTCTTAGACGCGCCATTTCCCGCTGATGCCTACAGAGGCCTTGTGTGGTAGGAAGGTCGAGGAGGTCGTGGACTACTGGACATCGACGTCGATCGAAATGCAAAAAATTAGAATGTGGCACGTGACGCCGGCACTTGATGGGGTCGAGTCGGACAAGCGCCACGAAATTGGAGTCCATTTAGTATCTGCAACTGCGACATCGAATGGTCCCTGCTCCTCTTTCAGCCAGAAATGCTCATCCCCATACATCCAAACTTCTCTACACTCTTCTCTCCGTCGGGTCTCAACATGTATCCAGGTTCATCCGCGGCACAACCAACAACGCTCCTGGGCTTGCAAAGCGAAGTTCTGGCGAGAAATTCGACCCCAGCAACCCCAGGGACAGGGCATTTGCAGCACTCATACCCATTCTTGTTCTCATGTCCGGTGTCTTTGCCGGATTGACACTTGGTTACATGAGTTTGGACGAGACGCAGCTCAACGTGTTGAGCATCAGCGGGACGCCGTAAGCGCTCATGCCAAGGTCTCAAGTGCCGATTCGCAAGCTCACCAATTCCTATTCTAGTAAACAACGCGAATATGCCAAGAAGATTCAACCCATTCGCAAAAATGGGCATCTACTCCTCGTCACTCTCCTCCTAGCGAACATGATTGTCAACGAGACCCTTCCCGTTATTGCGGACCCAGTTTTGGGAGGAGGCTTCCAGGGTGTCGTGGTTAGCACTGTACTTATTATTATGTGAGTTTTCTCTCTCGTCTTCGACCTCCCCAGATGTTGGCCCTGTCAGACCGCTGCCACGTAATCACTGGAGAGGAAATATACGAAGGGTCTAGACCCTGATAATTCCTTACCTTCAATATTCCTTCTGCGTTAAAAGAATACCACTTCTCTGCGAAGCCAAGTTGACCAGACGATGCTTGAATGGTGACGTCACGCGTATGGGGTTACCCTAAAACGTGTCCTCATCGCGTCCATACCAAGCGCCTTGGCGATAACACTCTTGGCACTACGCCACACCTTGCTACGAAAGGCTAACTACTTCGCTTCAGCTTCGCGGAAATCATTCCCCAGTCGCTCTTCACCCGCCATGGTCTCTACCTCGGTGCAAAATGCGCCTTCTTCACGAAATGTCTAATCATCGTTATGGTGTGTCTTGTCATTCGCTTATCATTCCAAGTCGTCTTGCTGACTTGCGAGCGTGGACAGGGTGTCATTGCATGGCCAGTTGCAAAGCTGCTAGAGTTTGTCTTAGGGCCGCATCATGGCATCATTTATCGTCGAGGTGAACTCAAGGAGTTGATTGCTATGCACTCATCGCATGCGACGCTCGGGGGAGACCTCAAAATCGACACTGTCACTATAATTGGAGCTACTCTCGACCTGCAGGAAAAAGTCGTTAGACAGGCATGTTCAGCCCTCTCTTCTGGTGTTTGAGCTAACATGAATTGTTAATAAAGGCCATGACGCCTATCGACGAAGTCTTCATGTTATCAATCGATTCGAAACTGGACTACGATCTGCTTAAGAAGATATGTCAGACCGGACATAGTCGTGTACCCGTGTATGAAGAAGTGGATGTTCCTATATCGACCCTTGGAGGGACGGACGGCGGTGCAAAGACGGGACGCACGAAAAAGCTGAAGAAGATTCTCGGAATTCTCTTGGTCAAACAATGTGTTCTACTGGATCCCAAAGGTATGCAAGACCATAAGTTTTCATTGTTCTGACCTGAGAATCCCGCCTAACCCGTAGACGCCACTCCACTTCGCAAAATTCCTCTGAACAAGGTCCCTTTCGTTCCGAACAATGAGCCTCTCTTGGGAATTCTCGACAAGTTCCAGGAGGGACGGAGCCATATGGCCATCGTTAGTAGGTTTAGCGTGGAAAAGGTCTGTATCTCCTCCCCATATCGAGGATCTCAATTAAATGGCACATTCTACTAGGCCGCAAGTGTCAAGAAAGCTGTGAAGCGTGGATTGACGCAGCGCCTGCGTGACCGTGTTGGGATGGGTGACTCCAGCGATGAAGAGAAGGACCTCGAAGCCAATAGCCGGTTGGCTCAAGTCAAGGAAGGAGAGGAGGCAACACTCAGGGACGATGGGGTTATCGAACAAGATTTTGCTACCCGGAAACCGAAATCATTCAGGGGTCGCAGCCGCCTTCTGCGGACGACATCGAATGGGCGAGATACGGCGGCTGCCAGTGAGAAATGGGAGGAACAGGATGAGGAGGAACTTGAAACAATGGAGGAAGAAAAGAAAAGTGGGAGGTCTGGGTTCCAGCTGCCGAAGGCGGCGGCTAGCATGGCTTCTATGTCTATGCTGGAACAAAGTATGCCTGCTGATGCTGTACTGGGGAAGGAGGGTGCCGATGAGGTGAGATTTCTCTTCCTGGTGTTGCGTATGAGTAAAAGTCAACATGTCCGTTTTCAGTTTTTGAAGAACTTCGACCCCGCTGTCATGCCTCTAGGAATTATCACCCTCGAAGATGTCTTGGAAGGTGCTGTCCATTTTACATATAGCTCGTATATGTTCATTCCTCACGTTTTGTTGAACAGAGTTGATCGGAGAAGAGATTTACGACGAATTCGACCCTCAAGGTGCTCGTGGCGATCCGTATGAAGTTCCTCCTGCCAAGACGGAAGCTCTTGCTGTGGTCAATGTCGAGCCCCCGCAGACAACGAAGCCCTCACAGCCCACGATCCATATGCCCACTGCATTGCACCTCAAGGGCCTAGGAGGACTTGGTTTCCTAAGGTCGCGGAGCGCCCCGCCGATACCAAGGGACCAGGACTCTGATGCGCATACGGATGATAAAGCCCAGCCAGCTGACGACCGAGGACACATCAATGCTCCCAAGGACATGCCTCCAGCATGGGGGCAGAGCCCGCCGACCGAACCCCGACCTGCCCTGCTGCCCTCTGCCCTCTCTGCTGGCCCCACTTTACCTGGAAACGACTACACTGGAGCATCGTTCATCAAGTCGCCGACCCCGCTCACGAGTCCGGGTCTGGCGGTATCGGGAAGCAGTGGGCCTGCACCCCCGCTCGAAGCGGTGCTGTTGGATCGTAAGCGCAGGTTGTTGGGGACGACGAGTGTTGCGGCGTCGACGGCGAGCTTGGGGGTTGCGCTTGGGCCGCTGGCGAGTGGGGGCGTCCCTGCTCCCAGTGTGGAAGGACTGCCTACAGTTAGGAATGCGACGGTGGTCAAAGGGGCACGGTTTAAGAGTAGTCCGCTGGGCGAAGCGGGGGAGAAGGCTGAGGAGAAGGAAGGAGTCGAGCCTAAGCAGGAGTAGATGTGGTCGTGGTGGATGCGTTCCTGTGGATATGTGTATGTATTCTTGGCTGTGGCCTATTGGTCCTGGAGGTCGGATTTGGGAGGTATGCGGTTAGGTTGCTACTTGTTGATAGTATAAGGTTTGTAGTTTTCATGTACAATAGTTTTCGTTTGTGATACTAGTCATACCCATGTTTTGACGGCCTTAGGAATGGGAAGCAACGCGGGGATGAGGTGTCTATGCAATTCTGTTCTGCTGATACAGAAGTTAGAACCAGTCTCGACTCTCTTGCCAGTCTCTCGGGATTCTGTTTTATACTTTTTGCCCTTGCGGACAAAAATAGAAGATAACAGAGAGGATTCTGTTATCTTTTCTGTTATCTTCTGTTATTGACCGAGACAGGGGTCGAACCTGCAATCTCCTGATTTGGAACTCATCGTAGTCAGACGCGATGCCATTTCGCCACACGGCCATTGTAGAACTTGATGTACATGCAAATCTCGGACGCCTCGTGCGACGGAACGCAAAGAGATCATATTCCGCTCATGAGCATTTGCACGCCAGTGATCATGACTTGCTCAAATCCTCACTAAAGTCACACTGAAAAACGACCTCAGCTGTGTTGTCCCTAAGACCTTCCACATCAGAAGGCGGAAAGTAAGAATTCTGTTCCACTGAAACTCGTTACTTGAAATTTATGACACAATAAGACTGAATCACAAAGCCTAAGCAGCACCCTTGAAATCGCCCTTGACGGCTTGCCAAGATGGCCTAGATGAAATATCCTTTAACCACCTATGGAGTTCAAAGTCGATGAATGCCTATATGGCGAAGAACGTCAGAAAATACATACCTTGCAACATTGGGCTTAGTCTCCATGACATTACTTCCAGCGGCTTCCAGCAAGGAGCCGATGGGAAGGTGGAACAGATCGGCCAGCGTGAGTTCCTGTATATCGATATTGAGAGGTGTAGATACAAGCAAGCGAAAGTGTGACTTACATCACCAGCAAGGTATTTTTGTTTGCTCAGGATTACATCGTACGCGTCCAACTTGGCATCGAGCTTCTTCAGATGTTCATCGACCACGGCCTGATCGGAAGTGAGTCCCTGTATCCTGTCATCAAGATCATATCTTGAGTTTTGAGTCGTTACGATGAACTGGCGGACGTACGGTTTGAATATCTTCTCGAATACTGCGCCTGAAGCTGAGGAATTGAAGTTGTTCTGTTCAATCGAGACAGCTTGCTCAAAGAGAGCATTCTCTTTGAGGCCTGTGGGGATCAACTTCGTTCCCTGGTCGGCGTACTTCGCGGCGATGTAGCGGGCGATAGCACGGCTCTCATAGAGGATGAAGCCATCATCGTCCTTTGATCGAAGGAGATTATGATCGGGTGATCGCAAGGTGAGCAACGCTTCGACTTACGATGTACGGGATTTGACCGAAAGGCTGTTTCTCCAGGAACTCTGGAGACTTGTGTTCGCGCTTCGCAAAATCGACCGCGATGAGCTCGAAGGGAACCTGCTTCTCTAGAAGCGCGACCGCGACACATTTGACACCGGCGGACATGGAAAGACCGTAGAGTTTGAGAACCATCGCAGAGAAAAGTGGGTAGAAAGTCGAGAGGTGTGGGTTTTGCGTTGCTGCATTTCGCCTACCTTTGCTTTCATACTCCTATATCGTTGTTTTGTCAATGTCCTGGCGTAAGCTTGATTGGTGATCCTTGCAAAGTTGGTAATGTGCACAAAAATCCTTCGTCAAAATTAGTCAAAATGACCATGTGGCAGTCTATCATGGTGATGGGAGGGAGGTTGTGTGTTTCATTCGTGTCCCTGTACATAGAAATTGCTTAGAATGCACGAATGAAAAAAGAGGACGGCGATGCTCAACTTGGTGTCCAAACTACATCATGCGGTTTATTGAATACATCGCTGTCAGCATACACTTTCACCGTTCGTATAGTCGTCAGAACGTTGGCTACATCCTTGGTTGCAGGGCTGGGGCCTCGGGTTTCAAATTGACCTACAGAGGGCTCAAAAAAAACAGCTGCGGCCTGAGAAACTTTCGGTGGAATCGTGAGAGGACCAGGGGAAATCGGACACAGTTGGTCAGCTAAGAATCACGACAACCACGCAGAGTTCTACGCGTGATCGATGGAATGACCTGGAGGTCCACGCGTATGGTAAGCACACGAAGGCGATGCAAACCCGTGAACATGGATTACAAAGTGGGCATTCAAGGAGCAAGGGCTTCCCTGGTCAGGTAGAATCAATTAACAGTGGTCATCTTGGCTAAAAACGAAGGTGTCGCCTTGTCCTGGACTCCTCCCATGTACGATTTGTCAGTACACTTATAGGCAGGCCGCAGGGACGGACCGAAATGACTAGATTAACTTGCCAAAGCCTGATAGGGTTTTGAGCGAATAAACCTCTGGGAGGACAGTCGCATGTATATATAGATAGTATTGGTAGAGCCTCCGGATCCTTCAGGCAAGACTCGTACGTTTTGCCAAGTTACTGAGAAAGAGCAAGACCTTAACGAGACTACCAAATGTAGCTGTACAATGCAAGCGCAGAGCCAAACGGAGCCCGTGGCATGGTAGTGAGAACCCCTTGAAGCCTAAGGATTTTTCAAAACAATTCGAAACGAAGAGGAAGAGGAAGAGCGGTACTGGTGGCTTGCGGTCAACTTTCAAAATTGCATGTACAAGGGCGAAACTTGCTACTTAAATGTGACTTCTTCCATTTCGCACGGAGCTACGCAAAAAATAGCCTATTCCTGTCCCTCTGGCAGGGGTAAGAGCATTCCTAGGAAGATGAGTAAGACAACTTCTCACCTTTCCTTTTTTGACCAAGTGAGCGTTGTTTGTCCTTGCTTTTATCTGGGGACATTAGGTTCCCACTCACCTCGACTCTTCACTCATCCACCATCACAGCGAGCAGCGTTAGGGCAGCTACTCATATCCATCGCCTCCGCCCCGTGTACGAGGTCGCACAAATAGTGGAACGAACAAGCTCTTTGTGGCCAATTAGCAATCATGGCTTCCAACAAACCCAACAAGCTGGCTTTTCTGACCATGCCTGCACCTGCCTCGTATGTTGCAGGTCTCGGTCGAGGGTGAGTAATCGGTATGCCGCTGCCAAAATTACACTGGCTGACTTGCTTTTAGTGCTTCTGGGTTCACTACGAGGTCTGATATCGGACCAGCACGAGAGGGTCCCTCCGCAGAAGTCATCGCGTGAGTTCAATCTTCAAAACTCGTGTTTTCCCTTCTTGATTCTCTGTTTGATATAGTGAGGCCCAGGCTAAACGCGGAGAAGAGGCTGAAGTCGATCCGGAACAGTTTCAAGACCCGGACAATGAATATGGACTGTTCGCCGGTACCACATATGAGCAGGATGACGAGGAAGCGGACAAGATTTATGATGCAGTTGACGAAGCGATGGATGCAAGGCGTCGGGCACGCAGGTGCGTTCTGGTTAGTCTTCGGGTTTTTGTTTCTGTTTTGCTGACTGGTACCACTTTTATTCCCGCTCTAGAGAGGCTCAGGAACATATTGAGCTCGCGAAACTTCGTGCTGAGCGCCCCAAGATCCAGCAACAATTTGCGGATCTGAAGCGCGGTTTGTCAGCGGTCACTGACGATGAATGGGAGAACATTCCGGAGGTTGGAAACCTCACGAGGAAAAAGAGGCGTAGGGACGAGAGGACCTTCGCGGTGCCGGATAGCATCATCGTCGGTGATCGAAGCAAGACTGAGTATGAGAACGCACTGGACGCGAGACAACAAGGGGTATGACCCAGTCCTTTTCCAACTTAATCCTGGCCTTACTGACTTCTCGTTCGTAGGCTGGAGGATTCGAAACACCTGCCGACTCAGGAGCGCTTACGAATTTCGTGGAAATGGGTCAGGCGCGAGACAGGATCCTTTCACTCAAACTTGATCAGGTACTTCAAGCCTTTTAGTCATGTCTTATCCTTCTCATGCATCTTGTACAGGTCTCGAATGGTACAACGACTTCATCTGGCACCTCCACCTCCGTCGATCCCAAGGGTTATCTTACCTCCCTCGACAGTGTCATCATCAAGTCCGATGCTGAAATAGGCGACATAAAACGAGCACGAATGCTCTTTGACTCCCTGGTGAAATCCAATCCCAAGCATTCCCCTGGCTGGATTGCGGCAGCATGTCTTGAGGAACATGCGGGTCGTATGGTAGCTGCGAGGAAAATCATCAAGATGGGATGCGAGCAATGTCCGAAGAGCGAGGACGTATGGCTAGAGGCTGCTCGACTTCATGTGCGTGTTTTCTTTTAGTTGCGAGACTTTAATGCTGACGCCTGGACCAGAACAACGATGACGCCAAGGTCATCCTTGCTAATGCTGTGCAACATGTCGGTCAGAGTGTCAAGATATGGATGGCTGCAGCGGACTTGGAGCATGACGTAAAAGCCAAGAAGCGTGTCCTCAGAAAAGGTCTGTCTTTACATTATCATTGTTCTCTCTCAACAATCACTGATAGCCTATCCTTCTAGCGCTTGAACATATACCCAATTCAGTCCGCCTATGGAAAGAAACTGTGAACCTCGAATCATCCATAACAGATGCCCGCGTCCTTCTTTCTCGCGCCGTCGAAGTCATCCCCTTGTCGGTCGAACTCTGGCTTGCCCTTGCCCGGCTCGAAACCCCCGAAAAGGCGAAGGCCGTCCTCAACAAAGCCAGGAAAGCCGTTCCTACGAGCCACGAGATCTGGATAGCAGCAGGTCGGTTGCTGGAGCAGCAAGCCGACGTCGTTCCCGAAGGTGCGGCGCCAAAACCGGAAGAAGAGCGGAATAAGGCGCTGGAGGTCGTTGACAAGACGATCGAAGCCGGTGTGCGCGAGCTGCGGCGCCATCAGGTTCTCCTTACTCGGGAACAATGGCTCAAGGAGGCCGAGCGCTGTGAGGTGGAGGGCTCGCCACGGACGTGTGAGGCGATCGTTAAGGCGACTGTGGCGATGGATATTGAGGAGGAGGATCGGCTGGATACGTGGGTGGGCGATGTGGAGAGCGCGGAGGCGAGGGGCAGGGTGGGCACGGCGAGGGCAGTGCTGGCATATGCTCTCAAGGTCTTCCCAGACAAGAAAGACATGTGGCGGAGAGCGGCGGATCTGGAGAAGGCGCATGGGACAAGGTTCGTCATCGCGCTCATCTTATTTCCTGGAAGCTAACCCCATGTTTGTTTGCAGAGAAAGTCTCCATGCCATCCTCAACACGGCGGTGTTACATTGTCCCCAGTCAGAAACCTTGTGGCTTATGTCAGCGAAGGAACAATGGCTGGCTGGCGATGTACCTGCTGCGCGAGAAGTCCTCGAACGTGCTTTCGTTGCCAATCCCGAAAGTGAACAGATTTGGTTGGCCGCAGTCAAGCTCGAGGCAGAGAATGGTGAACTGGATGTTGCGAGAGAGCTGTTGGTTCGTGCACGGACGGTAGC